TTTTAAAAGTTCATAGGAGTTAGATTTTTTTTGGTGAAACACACAACTGTTAATAGCAAAAACAAAACTACCGTTTTTAGAGTGTGAGCGCCAGTGCTCTTCTAAGCATTTTCTTTCATTTTTGCAGCAGCCATGTGAAGTGTTACAGAGGACAGTGCGGCTTGGAGAGGTTAAATAGCCTGAGTTGAGGTTTGGACCCAGCTCACAGCCAGCTGGTCCAGCCCTGCCTCAGAACTGATTTGTTTGGCCTGAACAGGGTTTTGATTTTTATTATTATTCTTTTTAATATGAAGGATTTTAGATTCTTTCCAGGTTGCCAAAGTCCTGAGCACACCCTGTTACTGACTCCCATGGCTCATTTACATGATGTCTCTAACCCTGAAAGTATTTGAAGTGGTGACCCTTCTTGATAAAGGTGTGGAGGTCTGGGGGACACGACTGATGTGGGGAAAGTAGAGCCACATGGGCTTGGTGGGCTAAGAGGAGAACAGTGTATTCTACATAAATTACCTTGTGGTGTTCATAAACTTTGGGAGATCTGCAATGATTCCACACTGTTAAGTCATCCTGGAGAAATGTTCTTTTAGTTGATTTTAGTCCAAAGCACTGATGTTCAGTAGAAATAGAATGTAAACCAGAAATGTGAGGCACATATAGAACTTCAAGTTTTCTGGTAGCCACATTGAAAAGAGTAACAAGAAACAGGTTAGATTAATTCAAATAACACATTACCCAATATATCTAAAATATTAGCATTCTGACATGCGATCATTACAAATAATTATCAGTGAGATGTTTTACATTTGAACATTGTACTAGGTCTTTGTAATCCAGTGTGTGTTTGATCTTTACAGCCTGTCTCAATTGCACTGGCCACATTTCAAGGGCTCAGAACACCACATGTGGCTCATAGCTACCTTATTGGCCAGTGCAGGCCCAAAGCATTCTCCTTGGGCTTCTTAGGTTACAGCTGTTACTTAACTATAAGAGAGTGTTCTAAGAGTGACGCTGATTACTGGCCACAGATTTTTAATAACCTTATAAATAAGCAGTTAGAAGAGTGCCAAGTGAAAGCTGATGACTTAGTCTATGCGTGTTGTTTCTTGTGGATTCATAGTTATTGAGTGATGTCAAGGAGGGCTGCTGCTTTGGCCTTGTGGGTGGGACCAATCCGGCTGGGTTCTGGTGCCCTTGTTGATTTGTAGGCCAGAGAAGTGTTCAGTGGGTTTGTGAGGGAGGCACTAGTGTAACGTGTGTGTACAGATGGACTCCAAGCCACTGTGCCTCGTGAAGCTGTTTTGACTTCCCTTTCCTTCTCTTGTGACTAGAAGGCCTCTTCCCTGGCTCATGGACCTTGGGCTGAAGATCCAAGGCAGCTTCCACTACTGGGGATAGTCTACTCTTGCCCTTTTGTCCCCTTCTTGTACTCACTCCACTTTGGGAGTGACTGACAGTTTAAGGAAAGGCAACAAATAGCAGTTAAAGCAGGGGGGGGGGGGGGGGGGGCAGATGGATGATTTCGTTTTGCTGGTGACTAGGTGGTGTTAGTACTTTATTGAAACTTTCAATTATTTTTACTTATTAAAACAAATTTTTTTTGGATTACTTTTTGGCCGTGCGGAATGTGGGATCTTAGTTCCCCCACCAGGGATCGAACCCATGCCCCCTGCATTGGAAGCGCGGAGTCTTAACCACTGGACTGCCAGGGAAATCCTTTCAGTTATTTTTAAAAGTGATTTCTGTGGTTGCTAAAGGAATAGTGAGAGGGTGTCTAGAACCTTGACTCTAGTTTGGTCTTTTCAGGCCTTTGATGTTGAACGTTGAAATTAATTCTTTGACAGAATGGTCCTGGTGGTTCCAGTCACCTGCTTCTGGATCATCTCTGGATGCTTCTCAACTGCAGGTTACGAAGGGACAGGATTTGATCCCTTCGGTTGGGTCTGGCTTCTTCATCAGGGAAGCTGGATAAGCTGTTTCCTTGTTTTTGCAGCTAGAAGTTCAGAAGGTAGACTAGATTTCTCTGGTGTTTCTGGCTCTCAGAATTCCCTGCTACCCAAATTGTTCTCAGCAGCTGTACCTTTGATTCCCTAGCTCGGCCTTCCACGGGGCCCTAGCCTGTAAGGCCTGTGAGGATTTTATGCTGCACCCTATGCCATGTATTTTGCATTCGGTGAGAGTTAAATTGAATTCACATTATAGATTTGAGTATACTGGAACGAAGACATACCGTGCTTAAAATACACGAAGGGCTGTGAGAGTTGTTACGACTTCTATTACTTGTGGCTGGATAGAGTCCTGGCGCAAGCACTGAGATTTATTTCTTCATTGCCCCTTTGTGGAAATTAGAGTCCCTCAATGGGGCTCCTGGACGATCCTGCAGCACAAGTGGTGTGAGCTGACAAGATGCTCAGGGGAGCTAGCGGTGGAATGTGGTGGGGTCTGCTCCCTGCCCCTGCTGTCTTCTCTCCCTTTTGAAACTCTCTTGGGAGAGAGAGTGATGCAGGGACCCTCTCATCAGAGGATGCTTTTCTTTTGAGTCATGGATCGCCCCCTAGCCCCAACATACTTGGGGGGAGAAAGAACCATTGAGTTTCCATGCCCAGGCCTGCCTCAGTGCTAGCTGTCTTTGGCCAGTATTAGTCATCTTTAGATAGTTTTCCCCTCCTGGCTTATCATTTCTACCCTGCTCCCTTGGACCAGACCCTCTCTTACCATTGACTTCAACTTGCAGAAAGACCTGAACTTGATTGACCAAGTGCCCTGGTAAGGACTCAGTATATGATGGGCAGCCACTCTGCTGGGCCAGGTTGTAGATTCTGCTTCTGTATTTGTCTCAGGCTCCTATGGGTTTTTCTCTTTGATCTTGTCTTAGTCCCTGAGAAGTTCCTGCATGTTCCATGATATAGCCTGTCCTTTCCTGGGAATTGTTATAGTCAGGGTGCCATGAACAAGCCCATGTTATTTATCTGGGGCTGAAGAAAATTGACATTAAACTGAAGTGGGGTTTTGTCCTTGTTAGAGAGTTTGATGAAAGCCCACATCTCCTTTTGGGTTAGAAGTTTATCTGATGTGTTGTTGGTGCACGAATGCCAGGTGTCTAACCCTTTCTAATGTTTTGTGCAGGTCAACGTATTGAAACTTACCGTCGAAGACTTGGAGAAAGAGAGAGATTTCTACTTTGGAAAGCTAAGGAACATTGAATTGATTTGCCAGGAGAACGAGGGGGAAAACAACCCTGTATTGCAGAGGATTGTGGACATTCTCTATGCCACAGATGTACGTATTGACGTGAGGATATTTTCTTGCCATTTTGCCACCTAAGAGAAGATAGAAATATTTTTTCTGGTTGGTTTCGGCAAACTCAGTACTGATGCTTGCTGTGTTTCAGCATAACATTCATCAAAAGACTTCATCTTTGACCCTTAAAGTCAGCCAGAGAGGGCACTACTGCCCAGCTTCAGCCTCTACCTTGAGGTCTGTGAGCCTTTGAGGCAGGCATAGGACACTCAGGTGGCTGGCTGCCCTGCTTCTGTAGTTTGTGACCACTGATAGGTCATGAGTGCCACAAGGTGCTCTTAACCCCCCTATCCCCACTCCACCCCTTTCAGCTTGGACCCCTCAGCCTGAGGTCTGCCTTCTTTTTAATAGGGCCCTAGGCGTGCCCTGGAGAACCAGGCACATGACCCCTATTTGATGTCTGCTGCCCACAGCTGTCAGAGTGTACCTTTTTCCTCCCAACCTGGAGTGTATCTGGTTCCTATTTCCCCAAAGTGCTTTGTGGTCAAGTTTCTTGGGATCCATGTGTATTACACAGCCATATCTGCTGATATTAATCATGCTATGTTAGCTGAACAAGGAAAACTGATTTTCCCTAGATTTAGGATTTGACATCTTGCTGTGTCCACTGTTTAATGGCTGCAATTATTTATAATTCTTCTGCATGCCTAGCAAGGTCTTTAGGATCAAACTACAGTATATGTCTACGTGTTTCATAGTATGTGGCAGTATACAAATATAAGGCAGCATTAATGCTGTTACTAATAGTGTGCTCTAAACATATCAAGTGAATTTGGGGGGATTAAGACAGATGACTGAAAAGTTGATAATTTGTTCAATAAATCCTTATTTCGGGCTTGCTCTGTGCCAGATAATACAAACAAAGGGGTTGAAGATATAGGTGTCCTCGATCTAGTCTGAGTATTATTTTAGTAGAGTCATAGCTTAAGTAAATTTAGCCATAGATATTTAGTTAAAAAAAAGATGGGGGTTGAAGGGGAAGTCTAAATTCTTATGGCATTGTGGCCATTAGCACATGCCAGATGCCCTGGAGTAAGTTTGAGGTGGGAGCCATGGGTGTGATGTTTTCCCATGCTTCTGATGTTGGCTCAGCCTTGCAGCTATTACGTGTGTTGTGGGTGTTTTGGGTAAACAGAACACCCACAACACCTGCAGTAGCATGTGTGCATGGTTCCTAAGTGCAGGCAAAAAAATGAATGAAGGAAAAGCTGGCTGTATGGACAGTTATTGAGAGGAGATGGTATGGCACCATTATGGTGACTTCAGGGATTTTTGAGGGTAAATTTTCTTAAACAACTTTATTGACATAATGAACTGCACATATTTAAGTACAACTTGATGTGTGAGATCATCACCATAATCAAGACAGTGTACACATCCATCACCCCTGAAAGATTGAGAGTAAATTTGTGCTCAGTTTTTGCCTTTTGTGGGATGTGATTCCACTGCCTAACTAATAAAATAGTGGTCACTTGGCCTTGTGCCATTAAATGCCAAGTGTGTGGTAAAGACAGGACGAACAGTTGACTTTGAGAGGCTTTAAATATGAGGAAAGTGAACCCACAGTAGAAACTGATCTTTCATTCAGCCTTGAGTAATAGCTTTCCCCTCTCATTTTCCCATTTCAGGAAGGCTTCGTGATACCTGATGAAGGGGGCCCGCAGGAGGAACAAGAAGAGTATTAACAGCCTGGACCAGCTGAGCATCATCCGAATTCTTCACTCCAAATCATGTGCTTAACTGTAAAATATTCCCTTTTATTATTCTTAGAGGACTCACTGGTTTCTTTTCATAAGCAAAAAGTACCTCTTCTTAAAGTGCACTTTGCAGAAGTTTCACTCCTTTTCCAATAAGTTTGAGTTAGGAGCTTTTACCTTGTAGCAGAGCAGTATTAACATCTAGTTGGTTCACCCAGGGAACAAAGAGGCTGACCATGGGGTTCACTGTGTGGATGCTGGTAGCACTGATGGCTGGAGAAGGGGGAGACCTCAGTAGAGAAGTGTAAAGACTGGTTTGAATTTTAAGCTAATGTGAAATCTTGACAGAGAACGTTTTAATAAATAAATGCCTTAAGAGTATTTAAAAGATGCTTCCATATTTCAAAATGTCAAATGTAACATGACAGGAGCTTCTGTGTGTTTGACATTGTGTCTGGGAAGGAAGGGCCAGAACCTGGAACCTTTGGGACCTGCTGTTCCCAGCCCTCACGGGGCTGCCTGATCCTCATAGGCCCAGACCTTGGCCCAAAAGGAAAGTTTGAAAAGTTGCTTTGTAAAGCCATTTAGTGTCCTTGACCAGTTGCATCCCTGATAAGAAGCAAGAGGCATTGTTGCCTGGATGAATAGAGGGGTGTGTTTCAGCCCTGAGACATGTTGAGTCGAAGAGCTTGATTTTCATAGAACATTTCTCTGGTGATTTTTCCAGTTATCCCTGGTATTTCTATGTACTGTGTTTTGTTGTTGTTGTTGTTGTTTTTTTTTTTTTTTTTGAAATGAGGTGTGTCCAGTTTTTAAATCTAACAACTACTTTTGGGGACTTGCCCGCATCTCTGGGATTTGAATGGGGGTTGTGTCCCATTTTACTGTCTTTTAAGTTTACATTTAACATGTTTCTCTTCTCTGCTCCCCTTGCCCACTGGGGACTCCTCTTTGGCTCCTTAAAGTTTGCTGCTTAGAGTGGAAGTTCAGCAGGCAGGTGATCATGCTGCAAGTTCTTTCTGGACCTCTGGCAAAGGGAGTGATCAGTGAAGGAAGGCCACTGCTACCTTGGGATCTGCAAGGCTGGGTGTTTTCGGTACCTGCTGTCCACAGCCCTCCACTGTTATCGGAATACTTTGCCAGTGCACTAATCTCTTCGGAGATAAAAATGTTAGCGTGTTACTAAATGTTAATTTTCTTTTGCAGAAAATACAGTACCATGTCTGAGTTAATTATTAATATTTAAAATATTTCATTCCTTAACTCCCTCATTTGCTTTGCCCACAGCCTATTCAGTTCCTTTGTTCGGCAGAATTCTGCAAAATGTGTTACCCACTACTGAGATTGTTCTGCCCCTGATGTATTTGTATTGATTTGTTTCTGGTGGTAGCTTGTCCTAAAATGTGTGTAGCAAGCAGGTATTTTATGATAAAATTGTTGTGTAGTGCATGCTCTGTGTGGAATTCAGAGGAAAACCCAGATTCAGTGATTAACAATGCCAAAAAATGCAAGTAACTAGCCATTGTTCAAATAACAGTGGTGCTATTTCTCTTTTGTGGCCTTTTAGACTTTTGTTGCCCTAAAATTCCAATTTATTGGGAACCCATTTTCCACCTGGTCTGTCTTGACAGGGTTTTTTACTACTTTTAAACAGTTTCTAAATAAAATTCTGTATTTCAAGAGTGTCATGTCTTCTGAAATTTGTCTTGCCCTGGGTATATTATTTTAGGTTCAAATGGTAAGGTACCCACGCTTCCTTCTTAAATTAGGACTGATCTTTTGAAATCCTTCACTGTTTTTTTTTTTTTCAAATGTGCTTATTTGTAAGGCTGTTTCTTTTTTCTCCATTCTTCACAGTACATTTCTCAGCCTCCTGCTGTTTCACACTCTCATGTTACTGTGAGAGGTCTTTCAGAAGTCCAGGGCTTGGCCTAGCTACCGTGAAACCTTTTCAGGCTGTTTCCTCCAGAGGTATATAGGACAGAGCTTGGTGGATACCATGGGGCAATACTTTTTTTCCCTGAAAGTATGTTTCAAAGGCAGTGAACACAGTCAATCTGTAACCTGAAGTCATCACCATTTTTCTTCCCTTTTAAAATTCTGTGCTGTAAGAAACGAGTTCAGAAGGTGACGTGCTGCCATTTTCAGTATAAAAGAAAGTTAAATGGTCAGAAGGTAGTTTTCTATATGATCTGTAGGGTACCCACCACAATTATGGATGCTCTGTAAACCCAACTAGATGATGATTTTGACTAGGGTTACACCCACGTTACTTCCTGTAGAAGTTAACGGTATGAAACCTTCCTTAAAATGTTACACATCTTCAAGAAGGAATTGGAAACCACATGTGTTTGTAATTTACAAGAGGCTACCTCCAGGAGTGCATGGAGTTTGCGAAGATAATTTTGGGTAATGTCAGCTGAGACGTTACCTTGGGAAGAGTGAAGCTGTTAACTGTGTGTATCTCTGACCTAGTAAGTCCATTGGCCTGACTCTTTAGGCTGAGGCACAGTCTTCTAATGTGACTAATTCAGGTTGGGTCACTGGTGCGGTGAACTTGAATTAGCTGCTTAGTTTGCTTGGCAAGTTCTGTGTTGCATGCAGTATACGTAAACAGATGACTGGATTTAGGATTCACTCGTGCTGGTGGTCCTCAAACTGATGGGCTTCAGAATCACCTGTAGAACTTGATTGACATTCATTTCTAAAGTCCAATCCCAGAAATTCTGAGTCAGGAGATTAGAAATCTGCATTTTACTGTATACCTCAGGTGACCGGGGCTTAATGTGGTCCTCAGACCTGTACTTTTTGGCCTAACATTTATGCCTGCAAGTTCAAGTCTAATTCTGGCAGGGGGGATATCAGATTGGAGTCCTTGTAGGTCCCTCCTAGCTTTGTGACTTTTGAGCTAATTGATCCCTTTTCTTGTTCTGACCTGCTAAACAGGGATGATGGTGTTGGCTGCAGTGCCTCCCTCACTGGGTGCTTGTTGAGATCAGAATGAGCTGAGAAACAAAAGGTGACCACAGCGTTAGGAAGCCCTGCACGGGTTCTTGATCCAGTCTGAAATTGTTTATAGATCAGAAAAGCTTAGGGCACAATTCAGGAGGGTGATCCTTAAGATAGACTTGGAGTTATTTTGTAAAGTAAGTAACAAGTTCTTCTAATGTTTCTTTTTCAGCTTGCGGGGGATTGATGAGTCCAGCTCCTTTTAGTTTTCAGACTATGATTTTCATCCTGTTTTTCCCCCAGGTGAAATCGTGTTCTAAACACACACCTTTCCCCTTTTTCTTTTAAATGAAGATTCATTGATTCAGTAATTGATTCATTGATTTAAAGATAGGTATTTCTTCAGGGTTTACTCTCTAGAATATAATATGGTGTTGGAAAGGAAGCAGTTTTCTTTTGCTATAACCAAAATGAGTCTAGGGAAGTTTTTCTTTAAGGATTGTTTTGTGAGATTTGGTATGAGGAGCTCCTTTTGTGATGTTTACCATATTTCACCATAGTCTACAAACAAAACCTAGGCTTTAAGCCTGATCAGCCTAATCGGATTAATTTGCTAGTATGTGGGTGACCCAAATCTGACTGCTGTCAACAGAGTGGAAGTAATTGCTTTGCAAGCTGAACCTGAGCCTTCGGTTAGTGTTCGTGAGTCACCAGTCATTTTGCTGGTCTGGCACTGTTGCTGTTGTTTTAAAATTAGGAGTATGTCGTACTTTTGAATTCATACATTCCAGTTATAAAATTTTAAAACCCGATGAGTTCATATTTATTTCTTACACTTGCAGCTTTTTTCTCAGTTTTCATATGTGACAGTATAGATGAATATGCAGAGTCCTTGTCCGAAAGAAAGCCCACAGAGGAATTCTGTGCTTTTACATTGAACTTGACTATGCTTAGAACCATTATCCCAGATGCCTTCAGCCAGATTGTTACGCAGGTATAATTTGTGAAGGTCTGTTTCCCTTTTGGCTTAATCTGAGTTGGAAAGCAGTGTTACCTTAGCCTGGAGCACAGAGCTTTCTGTTGAGGTTGTGGTCAGGTTGCCTCATTAATTTCGTTATGTAGGTAAGCAAGTCCAGCCCTACACACACACATTTAAAGTAACCTATATTTCTTTTGTATTGGATGCTCTGATGTTCTGAATTGTAAAATGTAAGTAGCCTTCACAGACATGTTTCTGCAGGTAGGGAGAGGCAAATCTTTGTCTTGTGATCAGTTGAAAAGCAAAGCAAGTTAGCCATCAAAGCCTAGAACTTTGTGAATGGTATCAAGAGATAGATTTAGAATTACAAAGTGATCTGTTAGCAGTTTGGAATTCTGTAGGATGTCTTACCTTAAAAGTTAAAAATTTTTTTCCTTAACTTTTTCCTGGTTTACTTTGAATATTTTTCGCAGTCTGTGGGAATTGGTGAGGATAGGCTTGATGTAGGTATGAGGAAAAGGAGGAAGAGCGGTTTATTCCATTTGCTGATGTCTTTAATTTTTAGTTTTGGTGGGAGAAGGAGATTTGGGAAGCTGTAGTGAGATTCAGTCCATCGGGGTAGGTCTTAACAAAGCTGGCTTTGTGGCTCTTACTAGTTTCCAGCGGGGACAAAGATGAGTTTCTAAGATTCGGCTTTCATGGATGATTCACAAATTGCAGTTTAGACTATTAAAGTTAAGCCAAGGTCAGGCATGCAAGTGGGTAGACTGAACATATAAAGGGGAGCCCTTCTCCAAAATGAACAAGGGAGAAGTGCTGTGATCAGGAGGCCAAGGATCAGGACCAGGGTCCTTCCCAAGGCCCTGCATCCTTGGTCTGCAGAGCATGGCTTTTCATTGGCTCAGTGAAGAGATGAGCGAGGATGGTTTCCCTAGGAACCTTTCTGAGCCAGGAAAACTTACTTAGGTCTGTAAAAGCCAGTAGGATACCAGAGCCAGAAAGAGTGGGAGAGTGCCCAGTTCCAGCAAGTGTTGCCTCTGGAGGCCAGTTTTCAACAGTTGAGAAAGTTTTGGTTCAGAGACGAGCACAATGTTTCTCAGCATCAAC